TATTAGATCTATACATGACTCCATATGGCTGTGTAAATATAATATATAGAAATATAACCTGTACAATATAAATACATACCTATAAATCTACATATCTATAGCTATGTAGACTTATATCTAAAAATATAGATAAGCTGCATATCTAATGACTTATACATTACATACATTATATATAAGCTATGAATATATATTAGATCTATACATGACTCCATATGGCTGTGTATCTATAGCTACAGACAGAGATACAGGTAAGGTACAACCAAACAGATATTGCTATGGACAAGCATATGGAGTATAAAGAACATCCTACATCAAGTGAGACTGACCATTCATGCAGGGAATCATGGAGATGATCATTTTTAAATTTTATGTTTTTTTATTTTTTACCCATTGAATTGCTACAATAAAAGATGAGTACTCCTATAATTTTAAAAACAACTACTTCTGGTGAATCACTCCCCAGGAAAGCACAAAGAGCAGCTTCTCACATCGCATGAGAACCAGCCCACCGTGGTGCTCCCAAGCTTGGCTTCTTCAGCACCTGGAAGGAAGGCACAGAGCCAGTAGAACCACAGACCCACCCACAGTGAGGAAACAGGTGCCTTCTCCAAAATCTTGTTCTTGGCATAAACCAATTCTTTCCAAAGTGAATTTTGCCTTCTACAAGTCATAGGATGTACTTTTCCAATGAAGTTTTCTATGGTCAAATACATTTGAGAGAATGCCTTACATCACTGGTGGTGAACCTGTGGAATGCATGCTGCAACAGGCTGTATCACTGAAAGCTCCAGAAGGTTCACCAGCACTGTTCTTCATGCTTTGTTCCACACCTCTGATTTCTTGAAAATGACCAGGGTGTTTGCATAGCCAAAGTTCTGGGAGAGTCCACTGAACACAGAACACTATCCTTAAAGAATTCCTAACTTTCAGGGGAGTATTGGGGATTGAATCCAGTGCCTTTTCACTGAGCTACATCCCTAGGCCTCTTTTAAAAATTTTCACTGTGACAGGCCCAGGCTGGGCTCAATTTTCAGTCTCTCTCTCAGTCTCCCAGAGTGCTGGGATTACAGGTACACACCAACATATCTGGCTTCCCTAACCATTTGATGATGAAATTTTTAAAACATAAATATTTTCCTCCCAAGAAAAATATAAATTTTACTATGGAGATCTTAGGAAGCATTTAAGGAATGACTATCTTCCAGTGAAGGATCCTTAGAACTTTAGGTCCAAAGGATATGGGAGAAAAGAGCTCTAGCAGTGGTGGAAAAGATCTTTGTGATCTGGCTGCCTCCCTCCACCTCCAGCACTCCTCCTATAGTTTTACCTAAACCATAAATGCCATGTAGCTAGACACAGAACACAGCAACTTGGGCAGGATGGAGTGCACAGCCAGTGCTCAGTGACAAATGCTCACCGACTGATACATTCTTCACTTTCAGCAGGCATACAGATTGGATACCACTCATCCAAAATGCTCAGGACCAAAAGTATTTTGGGTTTCAGGTTTTCTCAGATTGCATAATTTTTTCATACATGCAATGAAATATTTTTGGGGAAGGGATCCAATTCATGTATTTCATTTGCACTTTATATGAATAGCCTGGAGATAATTTTATACAGATATTGTTAGTGCACATGCATTTTGACTCTGACTTGTCATTTAAGGTCAGGGTGGTGTGTATCGAATCTTCCCCTGGGGGTCAAGTCCCTGCTCAAATAGTGATTTTGGAGCATTTTGAATTGGATTTTCACATAAGGGATGCTAGTGTGTATATGTTTCCCAGTCCCTCAATTTTAACCCTAACAGGCAGAGCTGTGGGCTCAGAAGTCAAGAATATGAATGGCCTTCAATGTGCATATGGGCAACCCAAGCATGTGATCCTGAGTGGGATGGCACGAGTGCCCACAAGCAGAGGCATTCACTCCTCAGAAGACAGAACGCTCTCCACCCCGCTATAGCCCAAGCCAAACCCGCTTACTGCGCTGTCCTGCAGGTATTGCTCCCAGATCCCAGCCGTCAGCCCCTGCCCAGCATCGCAGGGCATGTCTGGAGACACAATAATGTGGTTGACAAGAGCCGACAGGTGGGTTCTCACAGTGGACAGGTGTCTGCAGTAGGCGAGCCCTGCAGGACAGGGAAGGGACGTATCATCACATACCATATGATAACATTTGCCTTGTCTCATGAAGTCTCCAAAATACTGCCTCACTTCCCAGCTTCCTGGATGTCACAATGCACAAATTCTTGTCACTCCCTTCTCTAGACAAGAAAGTGAAACTTGGAGAGAAGGGTGATGTCATTTGCCGGCCTGACTGCTTAATCCTAGGGAAGTTTTGTCACCTTTCTCAGCCTTAGCTAGGGTAACACACCCTCTTATGTCAGAAGCCGACACTGACAGGTTGGCAGAGAAGGGAAGTGAAGAAAGGGGACCAGGGATGTGCTGGGCTTCCTGAGCTTGCATAGGTCCTCATTCCACACAGAAAGGAAATGTAAGACATGGACTCTTGTTCAAACTGCAGCTAGATGAAGAAAGGCCCAGTAAGCCAACAAGATGGAGACAGCACTGCCCCTCTCAAAGAATGCCTGCATGTACTACCCCTCACCAGTTGCACCCCTGGCACCAGCAGGGAGTTGTGCATCATACCCAGCACGTAGGAAGCTCCTGGCATGTGCCAGCCTGTGCTGCTTGCTCTGACTATGCCCTTCCTCCTGACCCTCTCTAACCATCTTGTCCCCAACCCTAGAGAGAATCTGGACCTCCAAGAAGCCTAAGGATGCACCCTTGCAGGAGGGATAAACATGATGGTGATGAAGACCACTGCAGAAAAGTTGTCACTTAAACAGCAAATGCTGTGTGCCAGGGCCTGGTCCCAAAGTTTGCATAACTTAACTCATTTCTTACCTCAAACTCTGTGGAGCAGGTACTATTATCATCTCCATTTTGTAGGTGGGGAAACCTAGGCATGGACTCATTATATCATTTGCCCAAGTCATACCACTATGAACAGCAGGGCTGGGATTTAGACCCAGGCCTCCTGGCTCGAATCTGGGTTCCTTAGGAATGTGACATGTGATTGTAATTCCAACCCTGCTCCACCCAACTTCTTTTACCAGATCTTCCCTTTGGGTCTGATAAATTCTTGCCCAGTGCCTGACCCTGAACTGGCTCTGAGGATGGTGGCAACAGCACAGGAGAAGCCCTGTCTGAATGGAGCTCACGCTCTCTGCGCCTCTCCAGGCACACAGCTGACCTGCACTGCTACTGCAACACAGGCCCATGCGGGTCAGATTAAGACTTTTCTAGAGGGCCAGGGAGATGGCTCAGCTGCATAAGCACTTGCCTCACAAGAGCAAGGTCCTGAATTTGATCCCCAGTACACCTCTCCCCCAAACAAAGACTTTTCTAGAATGCCTGAAAATGCATCTTTTCTCTCTCATCTAGGCTGTGGGGCTGGGGCAATAAAACCTGCTAAGAATCAATATAGGAGAGAGGAGAAAAGACAAAGCTTTGAGGGGTAGGTAGGCCAGGTTCAAGTGTCAGGTCTCCCTCCTGTTAGCTGTGTGACCCTGGGCAACTCCCTTTGCCTTTCTCTGCTTTAGTTTCCTCACCTGATAAATGGGAACAGAATACCCGAATTGGGAATTTTTAAGTTTTGGGAACAGGATCCTATCACATTATTCTTCCCACCAAAGAAGGGAACAGACATTTATTGAGCATCTACAACATGCCATGTGAAGAATTAGGGTTCTTTATAAAAGCTTCTCATCCAATTCTGAAAACAAACCCCCATATAGTGAGGCTTGCGGGGCAGTAGGGATTAAACCAAACTCCTTTCCTTTCTAAGGACTCAGGGATAAAATGTACACCCAGTCTGTAGGTGAGGACACTAGAGGTCAATGCAATGTCATCAAAGCCAGGTAACTAGGAAATAGGAGAGCTGAAGTCAAACCTACAGAGTTTGGCTCCTTGCCCTGCTATCGCTGACATATAGCAGCCACTCAATAAATGCTCATTGGATTCCACACCAGCAATAAATATGTATACATACATCCGTAGAAAGCTCTGGAAAGGATCTGGTACTTCATGTTGTCACACAGAAGTTTCAGAGGAGCCCTGCAGGTGCAGAGAGAAGATGCTTAGAACAGAACCACACTCAGTACAGTACAGGTTGTCTGAAGATGACCTCAGTTTGTTAACTTTTTTTTTTTTAATGTATTTTAGTACAGGGTCTATAGGGTCTCCCTACACAGATCTGACTTGTAGTGATCCTCCTGTTTTCAGCCTCCCAAGAGCTGGAATTACAGGTGCGCAGACTACGCCCAGTCTCAGCTGTCTTAGTGCACCCCAGGGGCAGGGCCAGCAAGGCACACTGGGGATTGAACCCTGGTCCCTGTGTTAGCCTAAGCAGGTGCTTTAATCTACTGAGCTATCTGGCCGGCCCTCATTCACTCTTGAAAGTAAATTAAAATCAGCCAGCAGGGGACCACAGCATGGGCTGCTAAGATTACTACCCATTCAGCAGCATTGTGGCAGTCCTTCGGCTATCAGCATCCAGGGAAATCACCTCTTCTGGAAGTTTCCATGGATGGATAACTTACCAGTATGTGATCCAGGATGGAGTAATGGTATTTGAGTCAGAGGTGGTCACATGATGCACGAACTATGACCCTTGGACTAATGAGAATCAGCCCTGGAACTTTCTTTGGAACTAGTAAGAAACACAGACTCTTTTTATCTGGTTGGGTTTCTATAGTAGTGGTCAGATGGGTGGAATTGCTGGAAATGCCTCTGCCACTGTACGGGGAAGCAGCATAAAGACAAGCAGACGCAACATCTGAAGAAACAGAGGGATTCTTATCTTGGCTATCTAGATCAGGCCAGACTAAGCTACTGTGAATCTGAATTTCTCAGTTATATCAACACATTTTTCCTCTTTCCTGAACCAGTCTGAAGTAAGGTTCTGTCATTTGTAGGAAGCGTTCCTAAGAGTTTCCAGCAAGCCAAATTGGGATTCAGAGTTTGGCTGATTGCAATGGAGGTGATGTCTCAAAGCTTCTCTTTGAACAGGAATTTATAGGTGCTGTTCTGACTAAACCAAAGGAGTGGATCCCCCAGCACTGCCAGAGAAACAAGGGCTGCCATAGAACTGCAGTGTACTTCTGCAGAGGGCAGAATGGGAGAGTATCTGCACATTTATTCTTAGGATGTTCTAGGGGACACCCAGAGAAACCAGGAGAGAAGTAGCTTTAAACATCAGAGTGGCCCCTTTGTGCCCTCAGGTTGCTTAGATTCAGATCTGCTTAGGTTTTGTAAGAACAGTGCTACGGTGAAAGCTGTCATGCAGCAGGCTTGGTTCTACAAGGCAGAGAGCTTCCCATCACTGCAGGCAGCAGGGATGCACTATGGAAGTGAGAACTGGGTGCAGCAGCATTCATCAATGGGCCAGTCCAACAGTCACCAAGAGTTTCTCTAACATGTAGATTCCTGGACACTACACAGAGCTCTCTCTCAAGCAGGACATCTAGGAAATAGGGCCTCGATGGGGCCAGAATACTTTGCTACCTCCCCCAGGTGACTCGAAGTTTGAGAATTTTGAGTCACACTAAAACTTCTCATGTTTAAATGTATGCACACAACCTTGGGGTGATTTTAAGAACAGACTCTTTATGTATGGCTAAAAACTGGACCTCCCGTTGGGATAAACACCTACAAGGACAAAAGAATTGCTTTCTCCTGGGCTGGCCAAGTGAGAAACGGATCATTTTTGTGCATTTTCTTAGTTCAAAGAGAGAAGCTCTGTGGGTAAGGAAGGAGATGAACTTGAGAATTAATTCTGTACAATAAAATAGTGTCATTTACCGAACACTACCATGTGCTAGGTATCCTGCGCTGGCCACATTAAATAATGATTTGGTCTAGCCGGGTGTGGTGGTGCAGGCCTGTAATCCCGACACTCAGGAGGCTGAGGCAGCAGGATTGTTGTGAGTTCAGCACCAGCCTGAGCTACACAGTGAGCTCAAGGCCAACCGCCACTGCACAGCAAGACCATGTCTCAAAAAATGAAAAAAAAAATTTTGATCTGATCCTTATAGTCCTATGCACTAAGCATTTTGCAGAAGAGCAAACTGAGACGTAGGCTATCATCGTCACTAAGTGGTATTTCTGGTCTCTGCCTTCCAAGCATAGGGTAGGGGTACACTTCTCAGCCCTTTGTGGACAGGGCCAATGAATGGAAGTAGAAATAATCAACACTTCCTGTTGTTTAAGCCCCTCCAGAGGTAGCATTCCCACTGACATTCTGACTGGCAACACTCAAGATTGTGGCTGCTCCATCAGCCAGGAACTTTGGTTTGGACAAAGGAGACTCTCTGCTGACAATATGAGTGGCAGATAGAACTTCCCATAAAAAGCCAACGAGAAAAAAAAAAAAAAAACCAATGCGATTTCAGGACTGTTTGTTACCAAATCATAACCTTGTTTGTCCTGACTGACAAACATAAGCAGGCTCCAGTGGCAGTACTGCACAAGGCCAAGATTTATTATAGTGCTGGATGATTCCATAGGCCTATGTTCATGGCTTCAAATTCACCGCATGGCAAGAAACAGGTATCCATAAGGCTCTGATCAACCCTTCAGTCTCTCCAAACCACAGTGCAAGCCCCTCCTACCTTTCATGGTTGCAGCCACTGTTTGAGCTACCATCAGCGGAGCCGGTCTGTGAACAGGATGAACAGGAGGATTTCCGGGGGCTAGGTTGCCATAGGGAAGGGAGGCTGCTCACAGAGACATCCATCAGATCCTGGGGGACTATGGTATGTAGAAGAGGCAGAAGAAGAGCTGGTTAAGTATGTGTGAGTTGCAGAAGGCTTACCCGAAGCAGTTAGCTCCCCACCAGGGTGGCGCATGAACAGGGAAAGACCTCCAATGTGAAAGTAGGAAATACAAGCCCAATCATAATCTGACATCAGCCCTCGAGGAGTTACTGAGCCAATGAAAGCCACCACCATGATTTGGAAGCTCCAGCATACGAACAGAGCTGGTGAAAGCCAGAGACACAAAAAGACTAAAGCCAAGAAAACAAGCCCAATTCAAGAGCAGGCTGCCTTGCCATGTTGTCATTTAGTTGTGCTTACAGGATGCTGATAGGAAGGATGGGAGCCTGCCGGGTACTTCTGGGGAGCTCCTTGTGGTGAGCTGGGGGAGCCTATCTCAACAGAAGATGGAGAGCACCAGAGGGCAGGAGACCCAGAGTGTGAGGGGTGCTGTCCATGGTTCTGAACTACAATGCTGTGCTCCTAAGTGGGTCCACAGAGACTGGCAATCCCCAAGACCTTATGAGGGCTTGCTAAAAAGCCATATGCCCATCCTATAACCCTCATCTACTGAATTAAAACCTCATGCAAATAAATCCTCATATCTAAATTTTTACATTTTTACTTTTTGGCTACTGCAGATGGAACTCAGGGCTTTCCTCAGCTGTTTTAGATTTTGAGATAGGGTCTCATTAAATTGCCTAGACTGTGATTAAAATTGTAACCCTCCTGCCTCAGCCTTTGAGAGTGCTAGAATTATAATTGCCTAACACCATTGGGGCAAATCTTTTTATAATAACGTGGATACAGCAGTCCCACTGGAAAGACCCTGTGCTCGTAACTGCTGGATCCTGGTGATTTCCAACTGGCTGCTCTCAGAACAAAGCACTCAATGTTTCAATTTTTTTTTCTTTCTCAGCTTCAGGAAAACCACAATGTTTGCAACTACAGAACAAACATCCAGTGATATATACATATGTACTGTACTGCGATTTCTGCACTCTACTTCCTGGTCTCTTGGCAGTTCTAGATGACGGCAACATTCTCATTTTCTCTACGATAGGGCTCAGTAAACTTTTCTACACTTAACTCTGCTGTCACAAGGCAATGGTAGCCAGACACACATATAAACAAGCCTGGTGGTGTTTCAACACAACTTTATTGACAGATACTCAAATATGAACTTCATGTAATTTCCACATATCATAAAACATTCTCTTGTTTAGTCACTTAAGTACATAAAAACCATTCTCAGCTCATGGGCCATACAGAATGAGTTGGATTTGGTCTGAGGGCCATCACTTTCTAATCTCTACTCCAAGAAATGAGAGTGCACATTTTCCTTGTAAGCCATGACCATTCAAGTACAGCTGGTGTGACTGTGACTCTTCCTCTGAGTTGTGAGGGGAAGGGTGTAGGCCTGGTCTACGCCACAAAGCTCAGCAGCTGACAGGGTCAGCCCTAGCCCCTGACACAAATGAAGCTCCCTACAGAACACAGTTCTTATCAAACTTTCTCCCAGCTGGGCTCATCAGTGAGCTGGCTAAGAAAGGCCAGTGAGATCTGTGAAATGTCCTAGGAAAACACCTCCTGTTCTCAGCTGGCCTCAGAAAAGCACTGATCAGTTCAGCAAGTGTGTGTTGATGAAGCCTCTACCTCACACTGTGTGAGCCTCAGCAGTGAACCCTTCCCTACTGAATCTACAATGCTCCAGTCACCTT